TATAATTTTTTGTAAATTTCTTTTTTGTTTTCTAAAATGCATATGCCGCGGGCGCCAAAACTCCCCTTCAATTTTTTTTAGCATTTAAATCTAGTTTCATTTCTTGTATAGACTTGATTATTGATAACCAGCAGGTGCCCTCTGTATAATCATACTTTAATGAGATAATCATTGTCAATTGTTTTTTCTGTTTACGAATCTGAATATTGTAGTTTGAACACATTAATCTGTGTTCCTACAGTTTAATTTTTTTTTTAAATTTCTTTTTGGTTTTCTGAAATGCATTTGCTTTCTGGTGCCCACACTCCCCTTCAATTTTTTTTTAGCATTTAATACTAGTTGCATTTCTTGTATAGACCTGATTATTGATAACCAGCAGGTGCCCCATGTATTATCATACTTTATGAGGTAATCATTGTCAATTGTTTTTTTCTGTTTATGAGTCTGATGATTGTAGTTTGAACTTATTAATCTGTGTTTAAACTGTATAATTTTTTGTAAATTTTTTAAATCGAATTTCAATTCTTGTATGGACTTGATTATTGATAATATACAGGTGGCTTCTATATTGACAGTCTAGAACGAGCGAGGTATTCATTGTCAATTGTTTTTTCTGTAAAAGATTCTGTACATTTTAGTTTGAACTCTTTAACGTGTTTTCCTAAAGTATATTTTTTTTATAAATTCTTTTTTGTTTTTCTAAAATGCATTTGCCTACGGGCGCCAACACTCCCCTTCAATTTTTTTTTTAGCATTAAAATCTAGTTTCATTTCTTGTATAGACTTGATTATTGATAAACAGCAGGTGCCCTCTGTATTATCATACTTTATGAGCTAATCATTGCCAATTGTTTTTTCTGTTTATGAATCTGAAGATTGTAGTTTGAACTCATGTGTTTAAACTGTTTAATTGTTTGTAAATTTCTTTTTAGTTGTTCTAAAATGCATATGCCGCGGGCGCCAATACTCTCCTCCAATTTTTTTTAGCATTTAAATCTTATTGCATTTCTTGTATAGAACTGATTATTGATAAAATACAGGTGCCCTCTGTATTGACATTCTAGAACGAGCGAGGTAATCATTGTCAATTGTTTTTTCTGTAAAAGATTCTGTACATTTTAGTTTGAACTCTTTAACGTGTTTTCCTACAGTATATATATTTTTTAAATTCTTTTTTGTTTTCTAAAATCCATTTGATTTCTGGCGCCCACACTCCCCTAAAAATTTTTTTTTTAGTTATTTAAGTATAGTTGAGTTTCATTTACAGACTTGCATATTGATAACCAGCAGGTTCCCTCTGTATTATCATACTTGAATGAGCTAGACATTGTCAATTGTTATTTCTGTTTACGAATCAGAAGATTGTAGTTTGAACTTATTAATCTGTGTTTAAACTGTATTATTTTTTTTAAATTTCTTTTTGGTTTTCTAAAATGCATTTGCTTTCTGGCGCCCACACTCCCCTTCAACTTTTTTTTAGCATTTAATACTAGTTGCATTTCTTGTATAGACCTGATTATTGATAACCAGCAGGTGCCCCATGTATTATCATACTTTATGAGGTAATCATTGTGAATTGTTTTTTCTGTTCAAGAATCTGGAGATTTTAGTTTTAATCCATTAATGTGTGTTCCTAAAGTTCAATTTCTTCTAAATATCATTTCTGTTCTCTAAAATGCATTTTTTTGCGGGCGCCAAAACTCCTCTTCAATTATTGTTATAGTTATTTAACTGTAGTTGAGTTTCTTTTACAGACTTGCATATTGTTAACCAGCATGTGCCCTCTGTATTATCATACTTTAATGAGCTAATCATTGTCAATTGTTTTTTCTGTTTATGAGTGTGATGATTGTAGTTTGAACACATTAATCTGTGTTCCTACAGTTTAATTTTTTTTTTTAATTTCTTTTTGGTTTTCTACAACGAATTTGCCTGCGGTCGCCAACACTCCCCTTCAATTTTTTTTTTTAGCATTAAAATCTAGTTTCATTTCTTGTATAGACTTGATTATTGATAAACATCAGGTGCCCCATGTATTATCATACTTTATGAGGTAATCATTGTGAATTGTTTTTTCTGTTGATGAATCTGAAGATTGTAGTTTGAACTCATTAATCTGTGTTCCTACTGCTTAATTTTTTGTAAATTTCTATTTTGTTTTCTAAAATACATTTTCTTTCTGGCGCCCACACTCCCCTTAAATTTTTTTTTTAGTAATTTGAGTATAGTTGAGTTTCTTTTACAGACTTGCATATTGATAACCAGCAGGTTCCCTCTGTATTATCATACTTGAATGAGCTAATCATTGTCAATTGTTTTTTCTGTTTATGAGTCTGATGATTGTAGTGTGAACACATTAATCTGTGTTCCTACAGTTTAATTTTTTTTTTTAATTTCTTTTTTGGTTTTCTACAACGCATTTGCCTGCGGTAGCCAACACTCCCCTTCAATTTTTTTTAGCATTTAAATCTAGTTGCATTTCTTGTATAGACCTGATTATTAATAACCAGCAGGTGCCCCATGTATTATCATACTTTATGAGGTAATCATTGTGAATTGTTTTTTCTGTTCAAGAATCTGGAGATTTTAGTTTTAATCCATTAATGTGTGTTCCTCCCGTTCAATTTCTTCTAAATTTCTTTTCTGTTCTCTAAAATGCATTTTTTTGCGGGCGCCAACACTCCTCTTCAATTTTTGTTTTAGTTATTTAACTGTAGTTGAGTTTCTTTTACAGACTTGCATATTGTTAATCAGCATGTGCCCTCTGTATTTTCATACTTTAATGAGCTTATCATTGTCAATTGTTTTTTCTGTTTATGATTCTGAAGATTGTAGTTTGAACTCATTAATCTGTGTTCCAACTGTTTAATTTTTTGTAAATTTCTTTTTTGTTTTCTAAAATGCATTTGATTTCTGGCGCCCACACTCCCCTAAAAATTTTTTTTTTAGTTATTTAAGTATAGTTGAGTTTCATTTACAGACTTGCATATTGATAACCAGCAGGTTCCCTCTGTATTATCATACTTGAATGAGCTAGACATTGTCAATTGTTATTTCTGTTTACGAATCAGAAGACTGTAGTTTGATCTTATTAATCTGTGTTTAAACTGCAGATTATTTTGTAAATTTCTTTTTTGTTTTCTAAAATGCATATGCCGCGGGCCCCAACACTCCCCTTCAATTTTTTTTTAGCATTTAAATCTAGTTTCATTTCTTGTATAGACTTGCATATTGTTAACCAGCAGGTGCCTTCCGTATTATCATACCTTATTGAGCTTATCATTGTCAAGTGTTATTTCTGTTAATGAATCTGAAGATTGTAGTTCGAACACATTAATCTGTGTTCCTACAGTTTAATTTTTTTTTTAAATTTCTTTTTGGTTTTCTAAAATGCATTTGCTTTCTGGCACCCACACTCCCTTTCAATTTTTTTTTAGCATTTAAATCTAGTTTCATTTCTTGTATAGACTTGCATATTGTTAACCAGCAGGTGCCTTTCGTATTATCATACTTTATTGAGCTTATCATTGTCAATTGTTTTTTCTGTTTATGAATCCCCTTCAATTTTTTTCCCAAACAAGTTGATAACCCCAAACAAGGTTGTGTAATCCAAACAAAGTTGTGTTCCCATACAAGTTGATAACCCCAAACAAAGTTGAATACCCCTGAACAAAGTTGTGTACTCCAAACAAAGTCGTGTAATCCAAACAAAGTTGAATACCCCTAAACAAAAATATGCACCCCCAAACAAAGTTTAATACCCCCCAAACAAAGTTTTGTTATTCGAACAAAGTTGTGTACACCAAAAAAAAGTTGTGTTCCCAAACAAGTTGATAACCCCAAACAAGTTGATAACCCCCGAATAAAGTTGTGTACTCCAAACAAAGTTGTGTTCCCAAACAAGTTGATGACCCCAAACAATTTGATAACCCCCGAACAAAGTTTTGTTATTCGAACAAAGTTGTGTACACCAAAAAAAGTTGTGTTCCCAAACAATTTGATCACCCCACACAAGTTGATAACCCCTGAATAAAGTTGTGTACTCCAAACAAAGTTGAATACCCCCCAAACAAAGTTTTGTTATTCGAACAAAGTTGTGTACACCAAAAAAAGTTGTGTTCCCAAACAAATTGTGTTCCCAAACAAGTTGATAACCCCCGAATAAAGTTGTGTACTCCAAACAAAGTTGTGTTCCCAAACAAGTTGATAACCCCAAACAATTTGATATCCCCGAACAAAGTTTTGTTATTCGAACAAAGTTGTGTACACCAAAAAAAGTTGTGTTCCCAAACAATTTGATCACCCCACACAAGTTGATAACCCCTGAATAAAGTTGTGTACTCCAAACAAAGTTGAATACCCCCCCAAACAAAGTTTTGTTATTCGAACAAAGTTGTGTACACCAAAAAAAGTTGTGTTCCCAAACAAATTGTGTTCCCAAACAAGTTGATGACCCCAAACAAGTTGATAACCCCAAACAAGTTGATAACCCCCGAACAAAGTTGTTATTCGAACAAAATTGTGTACACCAAAAAAAGTTGTGTTCCCAAACAAGTTGTGTTCCCAAACAAGTTGATAACCCCAAACAAGTTGATAACCCCTGAACAAAGTTTTGTGATTCGAACAAAGTTGTGTTCCCAAACAAGTTGATACCCCCCAAACAAGTTGTGTTCCCAAACAAGTTTATAACCCCAAACAAGTTGATAACCCCCGAACAAAGTTGATAACCCCCGAACAAAGTTTTGTGATTCGAACAAAGTTGTGTACACCAAAAAAAGTTGTGTTCCCAAACAAGTTGATCACCCCACACAAGTTGATAACCCCTGAATAAAGTTGTGTACTCCAAACAAAGTTGAATACCCCCCAAACAAAGTTTTGTTATTCGAACAAAGTTGTGTACACCAAAAAAAGTTGTGTTCCCAAACAAATTGTGTTCCCAAACAAGTTGATAACACCGAATAAAGTTGTGTACTCCAAACAAAGTTGTGTTCCCAAACAAGATGATCACCCCAAACAAGTTGATACCCCCCAGACAAGTTGTGTTCCCAAACAAGTTGATAACCCCAAACAAGTTGATAACCATCAAACAATTTGTGTTCCCAAACAAGTTGATAACCCCAAACAAGTTGATAACCCCGAATAAAGTTGTGTACTCCAAACAAAGTTGTGTTCCCAAACAAGTTGATCACCCCAAACAAGTTGATACCCCATAAACAAGTTGATCACACCAAACAAGTTGATCACACCAAACAAGTTGATAACCCCCGAACAAAGTTTTGTGATTCGAACAAAGTTGTGTACACCAAAAAAAGTTGTGTTCCCAAACAAGTTGATAACCCGAAACAAAGTTGTGTACCCCAAACAAAGTTTTGTTATCCAAACAAAGTTTTGTTATCCAAACAAAGTTGAATACCCCCCAAACAAAGTTGCGAACCCCAAACAAAGTTGTGTCATCCAAACAAAGTTTTGTAATCCAAACAAAGTTGTGAACTCCAATCAAAATTGTGTTCCCAAACAAGTTGATAACCCCAAACAATGTTGTGTAGCTGTAAAAAATTTTACAGTAGGCAAACACATATCAATAAATTCAAACTACAATCTTCAGATTCATAAACAGAAAAAACAATCCACAATGATTAAAAAGCTCCTTTAAGAATTTCAATACAGAGGGCACCTGCAGGTTATCAAAATTCAACAAGGCAAATTCTAAAAAAAAAAATTGAAGGGGAGTGTTGGCGCCCGTAGGCAAATGCATTTTAGAAAACCAAAAAAAAAATTAGAAAAAATTATACAGTAGGAAACACATTAAAGAGTTCAAACTAAAATGTCCAGAATCCAAAACAGAAAAAACGAAATTGCCAATGATTAGCTCATTAAAGAATGAATATACAGAGAGCACCTGCTTGTTAACAATATTCAAGTCTATACAAAAAAAATTCAACTAGATTCAAATTCTTAAAAAAAAATTGAAGGGGAGTGTTGGCGCCCGCAGGCAAATGCATTTTAGAAAACCAAAAAAAAATGTAGAAAAAATTATACCATCAGAACACATAACAATGAGTTCAAACTACAATCTTCAAATTCATAAACAGAAAAAACAATCCACAATGATTAAAAAGTTCCTTTAAGAATTTCAATACAGAGGGCACATGAAGGTTATCAAAATTCAACTTGAGTCAAATTCTAAAAAAAAAATTGAAGGGGAGTGTTGGCGCTCGTAGGCAAATGCATTTTAAAAAACCAAAAAAAAATTAGAAAAAACTATACAGTAGGGAACACATTTAAAAGTTCAAACTACAATGTCCAGAATCCAAAACAGAAAAAACGAAATTGCCAATGATTAAAAAGCTCCTTTAAGAATTTCAATACAGAGGGCACCTGCAGGTTATCAAAATTCAACTTGAGTCAAATTCTAAAAAAAAAATTGAAGGGGAGTGTTGGCGCCCGCAGGCAAATGCATTTTAGAAAACCAAAAAGAGATGTAGAAAAAATTATACGAACAGAACACATATCAATGAGTTCAAACTACAATCTTCAAATTCATAAACAGAAAAAACAATCCACACTGATTAAAAAGCTCCTTTAAGAATTTCAATACAGAGGGCACATGAAGGTAATCAATAAACATGTATATTGCAAAAAATTCAACTAGATTGAAATTCCTAAAAAAAAAACTGAAGGAGAGTGTTGGCGCCCCCAGGAAATTGCATTTTAGAAAACCAAAAAAAAAATTTAGAAAAAATTATACAGTAGGAAACACATTAAAGAGTTCAAACTAAAATGTCCAGAATCCAAAACAGAAAAACAACTGACGATGATAAGCTCATGAAAGAATGATAATACAAAGGGCACCTGAAGGTAATCAATAAACATGTCTGTGCAAAAAATTCAACTAGATTCAAATTCCTAAAAAAAAAATTGAAAGGGAGTGTAGGCGCCCGCAGGCTATTGCATTTTAGTAAACCAAAAAAAAATTTATAAAAAATTATACAGTCAGAACACATATCAATGAGTTCAAACTACAATCTTAAATTCATAAACAGAAAAAACAATCCACAATGATTAAAAAGCTCCTTTAAGAATTTCAATACAGAGGGCACATGAAGGTAATCAATAAACATGTATATTGCAAAAAATTCAACTAGATTGAAATTCCTAAAAAAAAACTGAAGGGGAGTGTTGGCGCCCGCAGGAAATTGCATTTTAGAAAACCAATAAAAAAATTTAGAAAAAACTATCCAGTAGGAAACACATTTAAGAGTTCAAACTAAAATGTCCAGAATCCAAAACAGAAAAAACGAAATTGCCAATGATTAGCTCATTAAAGAATGAATATACAGAGAGCACCTGCTTGTTAACAATATTCAAGTCTATACAAAAAATTCAACTAGAGTCATATTCTTAAAAAAAAATTGAAGAGGAGTGTTGGCGCCCGCAGGCAAATGCATTTTAGTAAACCAAAAAAAAATGTAGAAGAAGTTATACGATCAGAACACATAACAATGAGTTCAAACTACAATCTTCAAATTCATAAACAGAAAAAACAATCCACAATGATTAAAAAGCTCCTTTAAGAATTTCAATACAGAGGGCACCTGCAGGTTATCAAAATTCAACAATTCAAATTCTAAAAAAAAAAATTGAAGGGGAGTGTTGGCGCCCGCAGGCAAATGCATTTTAGAAAACCAAAAAAAGATGTAGAAAAAATTATACGATCAGAACACATATCAATGAGTTCAAACTACAATCTTCAAATTCATAAACAGAAAAAACAATCCACAATGATTAAAAAGCTCTTTTAAGAATTTCAATACAGAGGGCACCTGCAGGCTATCAAAATTCAACAAGAGTCAAATTCTAAAAAAAAAATTGAAGGGGAGTGTTGGCGTCCGTAAGCAAATGCATTTTAGAAAACCAAAAAAAAAATTAAAAAAAAATTATACAGTAGGAAACACATTAAAGAGTTCAAACTAAATTGTCCAGAATCCAAAACAGAAAAACAACTGACGATGATAAGCTCATGAAAGAATGATAATACAAAGGGCACCTGAAGGTAATCAATAAACATGTCTGTGCAAAAAATTCAACTAGATTCAAATTCCTAAAAAAAAAATTGAAGGGGAGTGTAGGCGCCCGCAGGCTATTGCATTTTAGAAAACCAAAAAAAAATTTATAAAAAATTATACAGTCAGAACACATATCAATGAGTTCAAACTACAATCTTCAAATTCATAAACAGAAAAAACAATCCACAATAATTAAAAAGCTCCTTTAAGAATTTCAATACAGAGGGCACCTGCAGGTTATCAAAATTCAACAAGAGTCAAATTCTAAAAAAAAATTGAAGGGGAGTGTTGGCGCCCGCAGGAAAATGCGTTTTAGAAAACCAAAAAAAAATGTAGAAAAAATTATACGATATTAAGGCCTATTGAATAGTTCAAACTAAAACGACCAGAATCTTAAACAGAAAAACAACTGACGATGATGAGCTCATGAAAGAATGATAATACAAAGGGCACCTGAAGGTAATCAATAAACATGTCTGTGCAAAAAATTCAACTAGATTCAAATTCCTAAAAAAAAACTGAAGGTAACCTGTATTTTATCAACAATCAGTTCAATACAAGAAATGCAATTAGATTTAAATGCTAAAAAAAAATTGAAGTGGAGTGTTGGCGCCCACGGGCGAATGCGTTGTAGAAAACAAAAAAGAAATTTACAAAAAATTATACAGTTTAAACACAGATTAATGAGTTCAAACTACAATCTTCAGATTCATTAACAGAAAAAACACTTGACAATGATAAGCTCATTAAAGTATGATAATACAGAGGGTACCTGCTGGTTAACAATATGCAAGTCTGTAAAAGAAACTCCACTACGATTAAATAACTAAAAAAAAAATTGAAAAGGAGTGTTGGCGCCCACAAAAAATGCATTTTAGAGAACAGAAAAGAAATTTAGGAGAAATTAAACAGTATTCACACACATTAATGAGTTAAAACTAAAATTCTTAAACAGAAAAAACAATTCACAATGATGACCTCGCTCGTTCTAGAATGTC